CAGAGTCCATGCTAGGGGATACCCATACTGACCAGGGAGCTCTATGCCTTACCTTCTGTACCCCTCCTCTCCCACTGTCACTGGTCCACTGTCATTGGTCATTGCCTCTGCTTCAGTACTAGGAGGCTGAGCAGCTAATGGCCACCAACCTTAGCAACTCTTAGGAATGTTGATTATTACACCCACATGTGTACACACACGCGCACACACACAGCGGCCCGGGTGCCAGAACCATGCAGCTATCTCCCTTAGAGAATGAAGGAGCCAGAACTAACCCTCTGTTGGAATAACCTCCACACTGACTTCTGCTGCAGAGCCTGGGAATGGAAGGAGGAAGTGGGGAGCGGAGAATGTAGCAGAAGAAGGGGTGCACCTGGGTTCTGGCCCCAGCTTTGACCCCCCACTGCCTTGAGTGACAGCAGGCAAGTAACTTCCTCTCTCTGGGCCTCCACTTCCCCAGCTATAGAATGAAGGAGCTGAAGTTGATTATCTCTGAAGCATCTTCCAGCTCAAAAAATCTGTAATGGCAGAATAATGAAATATTCACAATGGTATGCTTCAATGAAATGGAATAAACCACTACTCATCTCTGAGGTTGGTTGCCTAGCAACAATATCCTCTCACTTCTCTCTATCAGTTGCTTACTCTGTGCCATTGCATCCCTTTTTGATTTTGACCTTTACAATAGTCAGACTTTATTTAAAAAAAAAAAAAATCAGAGGGAGGAGTATTATTTCCTTTGGTCTTAGGATTACCCCTAAAAATATCCTCCCTGCTTTGGATCCAGTGACCAGGAAAAACAGCTTTTTGGAGGAAGGATGTGGTAAGCACTCTTTCCATGGCCACTAGGCTTAGGGGATGAGAAGGGCAAGAGCCCCACATTGGAATATTTTGGGGACAAAAGTTTGGAGCTCTAGAACAAGAGAGCCCTGATTTGCCTTGAGTCCAGGAAAGAGCTATATGGGTTAGGTTAGGATTTGGGGAGGAAAAGCCAGCAAGCCCTTATTCCAGCCTTGGTGCCCTCATTTTTATTTTTTTTATTTTTATTTTTTATATGAAACAAATTTATTTTTTATTGTTATGTTAATCACCATACATTACATCATTAGTTTTTGATGTAGTGTTCCATGATTCATTGTTTGTGCATAACACCCAGTGCTCCATGCAGAACGTGCCCTCTTTAATACCCATCATCAGGCTAATCCATCCTCCCACCCCCCTCCCGTCTAGAACCCTCAGTTTGTTTTTCAGAGTCCATCATCTCTCATGGTTCGTCTCCCCGTCCGATTTCCCCCCCTTCATTCTTCCCCTCCTACTATCATCTTTTTTTTTTCTTAACATATATTGCATTATTTGTTTCAGAGGTACAGATCTGTGATTCAACAGTCTTACACAATTCACAGCTCTCACCATAGCACATACCCTCCCCAATGTCCATCACCCAGCCACCCCATCCCTCCCACCCCACTGCCCACTCCAGTAACCCTCAGTTTGTTTCCTGAGATGAAGAATTCCTCATATCATTTTTAAAGCCTATGAGCCCTTAATCCCTTAAATGCTTCCTGGTCCTATCCTCAAGCACTTGGAGCAGGTCTGATGGGTCCTTATGTAGATCACTGTCTCATCAAAACTGCTCCAGAAAATGTGTATTTCCATTTTAGCCCCTTTTCTGCATTCTAAAAGAACACTAATAATATCCAAATTGTTATCCGGGAGAATTGGATTTTTTTTTTTTTTTTATTGATTTGACAGAGAGCGAGCACAAGTAGGGAGAGAGGCAGGCAGAGGGAGAGGGAGAAGCAGGCTCTCCGCTGAGCAGGGAGCCTGATGAAGGGCTTGATCCCAGCACCGTGGGATCACAATCCGAGTTGAAGGCAGCCGCTTAACCGACTGAGCCACCCAGGTGCCCCTGGAAGATTTGGATCTTTAATGATCACTGCCCCTCCTGTTTGTACAGTGCCCATGATCTGCCAAATCTTCCCAGCAGTTCTCAGTCCACTGACCCTTCGCTACTAGTAGATTTCCTTCTTCTCCTTCACTAGCTGTTGCCTAGTTAGGTGTCACCTGATAGCATGGGTTGCCAAACTGCTAATTTTTGTTAGGGAGCTAGGGAAATGCCAGAGGACAATAATGACTCAGAAGTGGGTTCAAGGTGAGGGCTCTGATATCTTGGGGTGGGAGGTGCTGAATTTCATGGGGGGCGGGGGGGGATCAAATGCAAACTTAACCTATGAAATTATTATGTCTAGGGGCGCCTGGGTGGCTCAGTTGGTTAAGCGACTGCCTTCGGCTCAGGTCATGATCCTGGAGTCCCGGGATCAAGTCCCGCATCAGGCTCCCTGCTCAGCAGGGAGTCTGCTTCTCCCTCTGACCCTCCCCCCTCTCATGCTCTCTCTATCTCATTCTCTCTCTCAAATACATAAATAAAATCTTTAAAAAAAAAGAAAAGAAAAAGAAATTATTATGTCTAGCAGTTCCTTGAATATGGGGTGAGGCCACACAAGGGATTCCCTCCTTTATCTCCCCAGGAAAAAGGTATGGGGGGCCAGATGACCTGATCCCACAGCTGGGGCCTTGCAGGCCTTTCATTCTCCCTTCCACCCCGCCCCCATTGCCACATCATCACCTCCCACATCTGTAGTGGGGAATATAACATCCTCTCCCCTGTTCCCACTCTGTAGAACTAACACTCTCCCAGGAGGCCCTTCTCCAGATTTCTCTCTCTCTCTGCCTGGCCACCCAAGCATCCTACCCCTCAGCCTGACTACCATAAATGCTGCCGCCCCCAAGCTTCCCTATTAGGCCTGCCCAGGCGCAGAGCTATTTTTACCTCATTCTCTTCCCAGGCCTGCAGACCTCAGAGGAGCAGCCTCTGCTTTTCCTTTAGCAGCTGAGGGTACTCAGCCCTTGCCCCCTACCTGGACATCTGCTCTGCAGCTCAGGGAAGTGCTGCTTCCCTGAGCCCCACCCCTGCTGCTGGGATCTTTTCCTTGCTGATCTCCTCTCCAGGGTGGAACCGTGTTACTTGTTAGTTATTTGCCCTGTGGTTCAGCGGCTCAGGGTCCCCAGCTTGAGCCATTCTTTCCACTGCCACTTTCTGCCTCCCACTGGCCCTGGTTTAGTACAGATGCAGTCAAAGCCACCCTGTTAGTAGAGGCCCTCCCCCCGCCCCAAACACACGATGTAGAGGTGTGTGCCAGCTGCCGAGAGGCAGTAACAGAGCTCTCATTGGCCTCTGCACCGGAGCCTTTCTCCCTCAGTACTCGTCTTCCTCTCAGCATCTCCACCCTTGACATAGGTTTACTTTGAGGCTGAGAACCTTCCCACACTCTGCAGTCTGGGATATTCAGAGTGAGGAGGGCAGCATATTGAAGCTGTTCGTGGCAACCCTCTCATACACCAGGCTGTGGAGACCCCTGCGTGTTGTTCTTCCCCCAGTGACGCCCCCCCCCCCGTGCTAATCAGATTTCCCTAAAATCTCTCTCACACACACTCCTCCAAGCGGTTAGATTAAGTAGAAAATCTACCAGATTGTGCTCTATGGGCTGGTGGGGGAGCTTCTAGCGCTATGTGGGAGGAGTCCCTGGGCATTGGAGGGAGGGGGAGAGCACCGCTTCTGTCTCTGTCCCACCACCATCTCCTCAGATGGGTATGAGCTCACCCATCTCCCTGTGTCTGTTTCCAAACCCTTGTCGTAATCTGCATCTCTCTTAGCTCCTCCTAGAGAGACCCAGCCAAAGACCTCACTGAATCCCAGATGGTCACTCAGAACCCAGCTTGACCAGGGCCTGGTGCAGTCAGGGAAACCACAGCTCCCTGACAGGTTCTCTCACCTAGAGGGTGTGGGAAATCTAGCCTTCCTTTTCTTTCCATTCCCTTCTGAGGGAGAGGAAGGGGCAAAAGGAGCATACACTAACCCCTTCGCCCCCATGACCTCACCTCCTTGGGGTGGGAACCTCAACCTCTGCAGGAAGCAGAGAGGAGAGGCTGGGTGGATTCCCACCGATCAAAGATCACCAAGCCCTCAGCTCAGAGCCACTTCTAATGGGATTGGGGAGCGGGAAGCGAAGAGGACCAGCAGCACTGAGATTTCCAGGTTTATTTGCAGTTATGAAACAAAAATGGCACTTTTATCCGGGTGGGCAAAACGGGGAGAGGTGCAAAGGAAGCCACAAGCGGCCTGGGCGGAGCCTGGCGCGCGCCAGCCTCCTCCCGCCTGTCTGCCGGCTGCTCCACTGTCCCGCGGGCCGGCAGGGTGATTCTCCGCGCCTAGATCGCCGGACCGGCAGGGGCTGTCCATTCTGCCCCAAGAACCCCTCTTGCACTCCTCACGTCGCGCCCCGCCCCCCATAACCCCGCCCCCGTGCCTACTTCCATCTGGCAGAGAGGGTTCGGGAGCGCTGCCTGCGTCCCCAAGGGCCTGAAAGTGCCCAGAGGCTCGGGGCAAATCGCAGCGCGGGGACGCGGGGGCAGCCGAGGCCCATGCGGGTCCGGGGGCGTGTGCTGGCGGTCGCGTCCCTCGCCTGGCGCAGCCCCCGCCGGTGCGTGCCTGAGCCCTGAATCACCCGCTATATCGGGCGGGCAGCGCCGGAGGCCCCAAACCCGGGCCGCGCCGCCAGTGTCCGCTTACAGCGGGCCCACCGGCCGCCAGGGACCCCTGGCTTTCCCCAAAACCTCCGCCAAGTAGGGAGACTTCACAGAGCCAAGTTGGGAACAGTCTGCCTGGGGGGGAGCGTCCTCGAGTCCTGCTCCCTAACTTTTTTGCGAGTTTGTCACCAGAGGGAGGGGGCTCGGTGATAAGGCGTGGGGTGCAGAGCGCGCCCCTCCGCGCGCTCCAGGAATCCGCCGCCCACCCCGCCCCACTCCAGCGGCGCTCGCCGGAAGAAGGGTAGGTCCCCCGAGCCACGCCAGGCTGGCGGGAGCGCCGCACCGCGGGCAGGTCCCCCCCACCCCAAGCCCCGGAGACAGCCGGCCGGGCGCGGTCCACCCCGCCAGCTCACCTGGTAGATCATGACTTTAAAGTTGCGGCGCCTCAGCAGCTCGGCCTCGTTGACCTCCAGCTTCTTGATCTGGCCGGCCTGGCGCTCCAGGCTGCCGCGCACGGTCTTCACGTTGACGCTGACCTTGCGCACCTTCTCCAGCAACTTGCTCACGGTGTTGCTGGTGGTGGCGTGTGCCTTGCCCAGCTTGCTCAGCTCGCCCTGGATGCTCTGCACGGCACCCTCCATCTCCGCCTGCCGTTCCTCCAGCTGGGCTTGGGTCAGCTGGATCTGGTCGACGGCGCCGATGATTTTGTCCAGAAGACTCAGCACCAGCACGCCGTTTACCTGGTCCGACTTGATCAGCTCCTCAGAGCCGGCCCCTGACGGCTCCTCCGCCGCTGGCGCCCCCATGGGGGAGGACCCCGAGTCCCCAACATCGGGGTACTCGGGAAGCGGCTGCTCGATGATATGGAGCTGGGTGTCCTCCATGGCTAGCCGGAGCCGTGCGGGGCCGGCCGGGTGGAGCTGGAGCTGAAGCCCAGGAGAGGAGGAAAAGCGGGAGGGGGGTGGGGGGAAGCGAGAAAGAGCAGAGAGCCGAGGAAACTCGAGCCACGTCCGTGCGCACCGGGACAGTGGCCAGAACTGTGGGGCGGGGAATCGGTGAGCTCCCCGGCTCCCGGGCCAAACCCCGGAGTCTCATCGCCCATTGGCTGGCCCCACCCCAGAAAGGGAGGGACCGGGGCAGAAGGGGAGACCGATGGTGGGGAAGGGGGGCAACCGAGGGGGACCCAAGAGCCGAGCGCCCCACCCTTCCCAGGATAGTTGGAATAGTTGGAGCGGGAGACTAGGGCCTCGGCTGCCAGCGGAGGCCGCGCAATGGGACTGGGGCGGAGGAATGTGAGCCGTGAGCCGGCGAAGGGAAACAGGTCCTAGAGTGGGGCTCTCCTTTTCCCTCCCGCTTTTTTTGCTCACCCACAAACGTACCTAAGCATTTGAAGTTCTAGAGCGGGGAGGCAGAACATGAGACCCTAAAATCGTATGCAAAATACTGTATTTGCCTGTGCCCAGTTTTTGAGAGGGAAAAAAATCCATGGCTTCCACAGTCTTTTTAAAGGGGCCTCTACCTCCCCCAAAGCCAAGTTACTAACCACTGTTCTAAAAAGCTTAAAGAGTTCTGAGGTGCTGGGCTGGCTGAGTCAGTAGAGCTCGTGACTCTTGATCTTGGGGTTGTGAGTTTAAGACCCACCTTGGATGTAGAAATGACTTAAAAATAAACTTTTTATTTTTTTATTTTTATTTTTTTTTAAAGATTTATGTATTTATTTGAGCGAGCGAGAATGGGAGAGTACATGAGAGGGGGGAGGGTCAGAGGGAGAAGCAGGCTCCTCGCTGAGCAGGGAGCCCCATGCGGGACTCGATCCCAGGACTCCAGGATCATGACCTGAGCCAAAGGCAGTCGCTTAACCAACTGAGCCACCCAGGTGCCCTAAAAATAAACTTTTTAAAAATATATTTTATTTATTTATTTGACAGAGAGAGAGCGCACAAGCAGGGGGAGCAGCAGAGGGAGAGGCAGAAGCAGGCTCCCTGCTGAGCAGAGAGCCCGATGTGGGGCTCAATCCCAGGACCCTGTGATCATGACCTGAGCCGAAGGCAGACGTTTAACCCACTGAGCCACCCAGGCACCCCTAAAAATAAAATCTTTAAAACAAATGTTTGAGGGGTTGTTGGGGGAGGGAGAACTTAGATTAAGATCACAGTGGTGGTGAGGAGCTGCAAAGCTCCTCTAGGTTCCTCCTAGATTTATACTAACAGAGTAGGACTAAGATGGACAATAAAATAGGAAGTAAAGCCTTTGGCCATCTCTCACCGCTCTTTAAAAATTACCTTTCCTGTGTTTCCCCCTGCCAGAGGCCTAGCTCACAGTGACTTCCCAGAGCAGGACCTAGGAGTGCATCTACCTCTCTGATCCCAGAGACTGGCCCTTGGCAATGAGATCATCAAATCTGACCTCTTCACTTGACACACAGTAACAGGAGGGCCTAGAGAGGGCAAGTGACTTGCCAGGTTAGCCTTGGCTTGGTGCTCAAATCAGGTCCCTATACTGCTCTCTGGCTCTTTCTACCTTAGCACTCTACCTTTCATTGGGACAGGGATAGGCAGACATGGCCACCCATGCATGCTGATTTCGAATATGTGGGCCTGATGATTAACTACAGACATATTTTCAACTGTGATGGGTATCAAGGACCAGAACCAAGGAGGACCCTTGACTCAGAAGTCTAGAGAAAAAGAGGCTGCTCGTGCTCCCCTATTTTGCTATGTAGCACAGCACTGGACTTAAGAGTTCCCTGGGATGGCACCAGCCCTCTTTCCCCCAGAAAAGCTGCAAACCTTTTCCCTGGTTAGGAAACCAAGCTTGGGTTTCCCCAGCTGGACAGATGATGGTCTTGGCAAAAGGTCACTTCTAGTCTGGCATGCATTATCATTAGGAAGAGTGAAAAACTGCTCAGTGGGTCTCCAGGCCCCAACAATCATTCAGAGAACCAAGCCAGAAAGATGCTGAAGAGCTCAGTATCTGGGACAGTCTGGGATAGCCCCAATGACTAGCAGATATATATCTATTAGAACTGACAGATTACCAATTTATTTTAGAATTTAAGAGAAAATGTACTGGGTTGCCTGAATGGCTTAGTTAAGCGTCTGCCTTCAGCTCAGGTCATGATCCTGGGGTCCTGGAATCGAGTTCTGCATAGGGCTCCCTGCTCAGAGGGGAGCCTGCTTCTCCCTCTCCCTCTGCTGCTCCCCCTGCTTGTGTGCTCTCTCTTAAGTAAAATAAATAAAATATTTTAATAAAAATTAGAGAAAATGGGGCACCTGGGTGGCTCAAATGGTTAAGCATCTGCCTTCGGCTCAGGTCATGATCTCAGGGTCCTGGGATCGAGTCCCGCATCGGGCTCCCTGCTC